GTTGAGAGAACGAATTAAAATATTGATCTTAATATTTTCTGTTTTAGCTTGTTTTAAAGCTTGATTTATGTTATTTTAAATTATTATTTTATTTATTTTTTAATTATTTAATTGTATTTTTTATTATTATTTTATATTTAATTATTTGATTTTCTAAATTTGAAATGATTTTAAATATTGTAAATACTTCTATTTTTATTTGAAACTATTTTATTTACATTTTTAATTTTAAATGATTTTATTTTGAATTATTTTTATAGTCATACTGCAGCCACTGCTTTAGCTCAAGTCGAGTGTCACTGGCTTGGAGCCGGTTATGTGTTTAACCATCGAGATCAGTTACTGTTATATCAACAGATGCTTGAACTTATGGACTTGCTTTAAAAATAAAACTCAAAGTCAATTTGTCATCAGTCGCCAGAAACCAGTGTTACCGCATAGCGCTGATGGACCAAACCCCTCCTATCTGATTCCTGTCAGATAACCCGTGTACATTTAATCAAACACGCTGCGTTTCACCTCACTTCTGCCGTCATGAGGGCTAAGCTGGAGATCCTGGCTCTGGTTCTGGGCACCATCGGTCTGGTCGGGACCATCGCGGTGACCGCCATGCCCATGTGGAAGGTGACGGCCTAGGCCTACATCGGGTCCAACCTCATCGTGATGGAGACGCTGTGGGAGGGGTTATGGATGGCGTGCATACGGCAGGCGGACATCAACATGCAGTGCAAAGTCTACGACTCTCTGCTCATCCTGCCGGCGGACATCCAGGCGGCCCGCGGGCTCATGTGCGCCCCTGTCACTCTCGCCATCCTGGTGTCCGTCTGCGGGATGAGGGGCACAGACTGCTGCCATGATGACGCCAGGCGCAAGAACGTGATCCTGATGGTGGGCGCGCGGGTGTCTGTTCGTGGTCAATAGCTTCACCACTCTTCTTCCGGTCAGCTGGTCCACTCTCTCCATCATCAATCAGAGACTTTTACAACCCGATGGTGGTGGAGGCGCAGAAGCGGGAGATCAGACAGGCGCTGTATCTGGGCTTCACCACATTCTTGCTCCTCCTGATCACGGGGGTGATACTGCTGTGCCGTTGCGGCCCCCGTCACAGGAAGGACGAGGAGGAGAAGAAGCCATACATCACAGTGGAAAAGGACAAGGCCGGGATGAGCATGTTGGGACGGACACCCTTTTCTGACTCGTACCGGAAGACTCAGTACGTCTGACAGACATAACTGACTCACTTCACTTCAGTTTATTTATTTGCTTTTCTTTTTAGTTTTATTTTTTTGCTAATTTTTAACTGCATTCATGTTTCTTGGCCGACTTGGCCATATGAATCAGTGTACTGAATCCTGGTTAATTAGATTAAATGTTCCTCATTAACTAACTAAACACATTAGTGTCTGATGATATTATTGTATATTATATTTTCAAACATTTTGTGTTGTAGTTCTGTTCTTGTAAGGTAAAACTGAAATTTACTTGTGCATCCACAAACATATGATTTACTTACTGTTTTTAGATATTTTTTTTAATTTTATATTCAAGATTAGTAAATGAAAATGAGACTAAACAAGCTGTCATTGTAATCTTTAAAATATGTGTATTATTTGCAAAAAAAAAAGTACATTTAATTTGTAATTTAAAAAAAATCAAATATTGTATTATTTATTTACTTATAATGAAATACATTATTATTATATATTATAGTAATTGATTTATTGTGTGTGTGTGTGTGTGTGTGTGTGTGTGTGCGTGCGTGTGTGTGTTTTGACACTAAAGCCTCTCAGGTTCCACCTCCATCAATTGTCAGGTTCTAGTTCAGTATCTTACCTGGAAACGCTGTGATACCTGTAACTCACCTGACCTCTCACTGACAAACAGCAGCTGAAGGAAAATGCAGTAGATCAGGGTCTTCATGGGGAATTCAAGTTCAGGAACGTCTTGACAAAATAAAAAAAAGAGTTTCTTTTGAGAGTAACAATAGAAAAGGAAAAATCACAAATATGATGTACGTTTAATATCTTGATTGTTTCTGTTAGATAGCAGTGAAACCCAGTGGAAAGCAAATAGACTTTTGCTTTTGTCTTCTGCTTCTCAGATTTCTTTTAAGATCTCTCAGAGTTTCAGAAGATACAATAGCTCAAACTGTGCTTGGATTTGCCAAGATATTGAAGCATGCAATCAATGTCAGAGATCTTAATATGAACTCAAACATGTTCCTTTAAATTCTTCCAAGAGATGAACCATTAAAGGATCTGAGCTTCTAAACACATTCATTTTATATGTGACCTATTGTTTGATTAGTTTGTTTTTCCCCAGGAATTTTAGGGAAAAACACATGAGACAAAGCTGAAACTTAAATGAAACATTACTCAGAACTCGATTAGAGTCTCCTTAGCTATATTCATTTACCATACAGTATATTTGTGTGTGTGTGTGTGTATAGTTAATAAAAGCAACCGCAATGATTATGATATAATTATAATTAATAATTATTATTATTATTTTATATTAAATAGTAGTAGTAGTGGATTTTTATAACTTGAGCTATAAAATTGTATATATGCATGTTATAAAATAAACAACTTTTTTTGTCTTTTGCAGTGTTAGATACTTTTTAGTTTGATTGGGTAAGTTGGTAAGTATTTAATATGTTTATTTTGTATATTTATTATTATTATTATTATTATTCCACTTAATGTGATGATGTGAGTAATAAATTTGTACATAAGCATGTTATGTAATTTCACAGTCATATTTTTAACTAACTTTTATATTTGTTTGCCCCCCCCCCTCGTTTTTTTTT